ATATTAGTATGAATTAATATGAATTTCTGTTATAAGGGGTACGCGAGTTTGAGCTCTTTCTTGAAGTGGTACGCAGGAAAAACTAATTGGGAACCACTGTTCTAAAACATATTTTCCCACTCGTTTCTAGAAAAAAATTAAAATGTCTAAATTTTATCTTTACAACCTGATATTTGTTATAGTAAAAAAGTTTTATTTCAATTAAAAAGTCTTGCATTCTTTGCATTAAATAATTGTTCCTATATTCCAAATATGAAGACTAGAGACATTTTATATATTGCGGCGGTCAGCAACACTGAGCCTAACCACCATCTCCAACCGGTGTGACGTCGGAGGTCGAGGCTTCCACTTTTTGGCTGTGTACACACTAGGCGTTTTGCGTTGCGTTAAACGCGCGTTAGCTCGGCGTTATACTACGTTCGCACACAATCCACGACTCACTTCGATGTCGATTTACCTACAATCTGGATTGTGACTGTCGCTAGTCGAACGTCGTGCTGTTCGCACAGGCAGTCCGCTCGAGAAGAACCTGGCTATTACACGCGATGATAAAACTGACGTAACTACGCGGTAAGTCACAACACCAACAAACAAAATGGAAGTTTTGGTTAGAAATAAATACTTTTTCTTGCCATACGTATAATAATAGACAGATGTCGTCGTCTCTCCAGATGTCTTTTTTATTTCTCTGTCCATAGCCCGACACGTGTTCCGCAGCCATGTTGTATTTTCTCACGCGCGTGGGATTGTGGGATCTCTCTTATAACTGGATCTAGTTTCGAGAACTCTCTCCAGTCGATCGCGATTGAACCTCGTTTCAGTCGAGATTGAAACGGTCGAGAGCGTTCGCACCGCGGAACAGGCTCCGACCTTAGTCACGATCGAAATGCTCGGTGCGAACGGGGTATTAGACGACCGTTTAGTGAAGCATACGCACTGGCTCAGTTTGGAAATGGACGTGAAAGTAATTGCTTGTGTGTGCCTCCTCCATCGTCGCTATAAAAGACGATGGCAGAGGCAAAGAGAATTTTGAGTGCACCCAATATTACGAGATAGACCGACACATGGAATGTTTGCGACGTTGTATTCAAAACTAAGACAAAGGCTGTGTACACACTAGGCGTTTTTAAACGCGCGTTTTAAAGAACCAAGAGTTCTGCATAGGCGTACACACTCAAATGCGCGCTTTTCGCCAAGCGCGCGTCAGCCGAGCGCTTTGAGATATATGTGCTGCCATTTTACTGTACATTCGATCGCGGGTTTCTGGGTAGAGTGGACGTACGTTGGCCGAAATGGAGAACGATCATTTCGATATTGATCTATTTATTGATAAAATCTAAAAGAGACCAACCATTGTGAAAGGATTTTATAGATATTTTAAAAGAATTTAAAAACTTGGGTTTATTTTGTCTTAGTTTTGGATACAACGTCGCAAACATTCCATGTGCCAGTTATCTCGTAATATTGGGTGCACCCAAAATTCTCTTTGCCTCTGCCATCGTCTTTTATAGCGACTATGGAGTAGGCGCACACAAGCAATTACTTTCACGTCCATTTCCAAACTGAGCCAGTGCGTATGCTCCACTAAATGGTCGTCTAACGCCGAGCTAACGCGCGGTGTGTACGCTGCTAACGCGCGTTTAACGCAACGCAAAACGCCTAGTGTGTACACAGCCAAAATGAACCCAAGTTTTTTAATTCTTTTAAAATATCTATAAATCATTTGACGATGGTTGGTCTCTTTTAGATTTCATCAATAAATAGATCAGTGTCGAAATGTCGTTCTCCATTTCGGCCAACGTACTGTACGTCCACTCTACCCGAAAGCGCGCGGTCGAATGTACAACAACAAGGCAGCACATATATCTCAAAGTGCTTGGCTGACGCCCGCTTTGAGTGTGTATGCCTATGCAGAACGCTTGGTTCTTTAAAACGCGCGTTTAAAAACGCCTAGCGTGTACACAGCCTTTGGGTCGACTTACAGTACTCAGGTTAGGACGTCCATCTCGCGTGCTCCGACCACTGCCTCCACGATCAACGTTGTTATGAGCTTTCTGTATATAAAGTTGTAATTATCTATAAATAAACTCGTGATATCGTCATTTAGATTTTTTCCTCTGCACGAGAAACAAAAAGTCGACGACACGCCAATCCTGTTCGCAGATGTGATCGGATTGAACGACCTAGCTGATTTCGACTATCGAGAGGTAGACCCTAACGGTCTCCTCAGTATATAAAAAAAATCCTGTAACATTTCTTTGTAAAAATAAATAAATAAATAAATATATATATATATATATACAGTGGTACCTCAGGATACGAAATTAATCCGTTCCGAAACTGAGATCGTATCATGAAAATGTCGTAAGGTGGATCATCTTTTCCCATACGATTACATGTAAAACCAAATAATTCGTTCCAACGCGAAAAACATACTCAAATTAAAGCCAAGTAATACATTA